CAACCGTACATACGGCGCCAGGGCTTTCGAGGAACATTTTCATACGGTGTCATGAATTTTTGACCAGTGGTGTACTAAACATATTCCTCCGAAGCAGAGTCAGAGTTTATTACAACAACAAACATGAAAGTGTTGGAAAATTATAAGGAAAAACTTTAGTGGGGAAACAAAAGCGAGTGCAATTACTCAAGATATTTAAGACACCAGGAACGCATCTTCTGGATTGCTGAGCTGTGCGCATGGTAGAATCAGTTCAAACTCGACATACTCTGCGTTCAATAATGGTACAGAATTCCACCAACATTCACTCTAGAAAAAGGCTTAACATAGAGAGTCCGCCCTATTCGCACCGTAATTCGTAGTGAATGTTGGTGGAAATCTGTACACAAACAGCGAGTTACATCTCAATACCATGGGTAAATTTTCCTCCCTTTTTTCAGAGAAGGTCACTTTGTCTATGTTTAGATGATGGAGCCATCTTATATTTTCCCGTCGCGTTCCGTTTTCACATTGCACAATTGCTCGATTTGTCCAATCCGATTTCGATAAAGGTTAAATTCTCGCAAAAAAAGAAGAGGGACCATTAAATCACAGAATCAACAATCTTGCAGAGTATGAGATAAGAAGAAGTCGCGTTGCTTTCAGAAGAATACAAGTGACGGATTCCGATGGAAGCGTCGAATATAACTATGTCATGTACGGGAATCAGATCCTCTTAAGCTCATTGTCTAGAGGATCACTGTTTTGAACGTGATAAATAAATCGGTAACGTGAGTCTTCCGTTGGGAGGAGAATGAGCGTGGCACTCTTTACGACCGAAAATTATCGCCATAACCGGGTCGCTTTTGCTAGAAATCGCATTCGAACCATCCTATTGAAGTAAGGTGACTTCTACCTAGTCCTTTACCCTTCCTTCTCTTGATGGATGGATAAAATGTGACTGTGTTGGCCCAGATGGCAACCATTTCTACTGCTACGATCCAAAAATGATTAGCTTCAGTTTTCCAGACGAAATTTCAAGGGAGAAGGAGTCATGGTATGGGCGACAATTTCTTCTAAACGTCCTCATTCATGGTTTGTTCCGAAGAAGCTCAACTCTTCAGATTATCGAGTCGTAAGGCGTGTGCATTTCTCCCTTCGTGGCGCAAAATCAGAATCGGCAGCAGAACCTCGTATTCATGTACCAGAGTACCCAGGCCTGGTTTGGTAGGTACCAAATCGACCTTTCGTACTGGCCGGCTGACAGCCCTGACTTGAATGCGATGGAAAACGTGTAAAGATTCACGCTAACGAAAAAGTGAGATGAAGGAATCAAGTCAGGTGAGAAAGCAATTGTGAATGTCTGGCACCAAGCTGACTAGAACTCATTGATAGCCTTTGCTCTACTTCAGAAAAAATAGTGCTCGTAATATCGTAATTCGAAGGAATGAGGGCATCAATGGTTATTAATTACGCAACTTTCTCTCCTCGTTACCATTTAGCTGTTGAGTAAATTGATTAGGTCAGTGGCTGAATCATTTTTGAACATTGATAAGTAAACTTTTCCGAAAAAATGAAGGTGAAATCGTTCATGTTTTTGAGACGAAACTTGCTGTTGGTGCGCAGGTTGCGGTCCGAGTAGGGCCCACTTTCCATACTGAAATTCCTTCTGAAGTGCCCTAGAACGTGAGGTTTGGCGTAATTTATAGGCGGCTGTATCATCATTGAACGCAGTGTAGTTCTTCAAATAAAACTCAGTGAGTTTTCCTGACATTGAACAGGAGCACATCAATGACCTTTTCGGGTTTTCGGCATTTCGTGACTAAACTTACAATTGAACCCCTAATTTGCAATGACGAGGAAAACAGAAATTTCTTGGATCCTTTTTTTGTACTGTTGCTTTTACTCCTTTTACCAAATTAGCACATATGCAATAATCCTTTCGTCCGTTTCGCACAATAGATGGCCTCAAACTTGTCGACTGTGTGGATCATTCCAACTGATTCTGCATGAAAGATTTGTACAGCTTGATGCCTTCCAACGTTTTTGAAGAAGCTTCAAATCTTTTTGAAATAAAGCTTCAGAAGCATCCATTTTTTGTCAACTTTAAAAGTTACAATAGTTTTTTGCCGGAGTCGCCTTATTGGCTAATTCAACACAAGGAATACAAGCGAATTGAACAGTACATTGAGACCGCCAATAAGTACGTTGAGCAGTTTGTCAGTCTTCCTTCAGTCTCAATTTTCATTGCATCATCGGGAAATCACTGTTTTCAGGGCATAGGGAATTTAGATCGGTATTCAACTCTCACTTCAGATTTTGTAGGTGGAACAACACTGTAATCGATATTGACGCTTGCCGACGTGAGGGACCTCCACCGGATGAAAAACGGGAAACCTGTGCGGCTATGGCGAGAAGTCCGCAAATGATCAAACTTCTGCTGATTAATGGTTTCATAGAGTTGCGTATTTATCCACTCCTGACACCTTTCCCTTGAATTCAGCTATTATTTCGATTCAAATAAGTACTGTGACTGAGCCTGCAATGCATAGTGTAGTGTATCGAAGACAACAAAAGCAGGAAAAGATATGGGATTCGCAAAACACAAAGCTTCGTAAAGCTAGTCATCCACTAATGACGACAAAACAGGTGTTAACTCTAGGTTTAAGCTGAGGACAAATGGGTCACAGCACTTCTGCTGCCGAAAATTGCTTGCCGTCATGGATTGAGGCCCGGACGATCAGCTGTTTGGATACCCAAAATGTGCTCCTTTGTAAATGGTACATCCTCACAAGGCTGCTCCACCGAGGTGTGACCTCCAGCGGGGCCGGACTTCGAGCCCTTCTTGCGTCTTGTTCCGACAATTCTTTGACCTGACAATGCTACATATGACACAGCTACATGCCAGAGATTCGTTCTAGTAGAAAATGTCAGAAAACATTATTGTACACAAAGCCTTTTTGCTAGGCAAAGCTATTATATCCAAATGTTCACCCTATTTGAAGCTCCCAACTTTGGACAGTAGATTCGCATAGATTAGGGAATAAGGGAATAATTTGCTTAATAAAGTTGAAAACAATGACTGTGGAGCCTGCCCCATAGACGAAGCCTTTCCAAGCAGACTGTAGGGAATCTTCGCTAAAACCTAGCTCGTAAGATTTCCAAACGCTGCGCTCTTGTGAAAGCTCTGATATACCCTAACACCTGTCCAGAGCAATGAATGTACATAGCTATTGTGAGCGATGTGGCCTGACCTTCAGGCCATCAAATCGCAATGATTTTTTGAATTTTTTTCATATTATTGTTCAATTTTTCAGTACCTAAAATTTTTTTCCAATTTCTTTTATTATTTCTTTTTCACTGTTTTGAGTCTTTACTGAAATTATTTCTCAATTCAGTTGCATTTATATTTGAGGTTTGTGATGGCTTTTTATTATTTCGGACTTTCTTTCCTATCCGTTGACTTGAGCGACGATCGATTCACGGCATACATGTTGTCTGCTTTTGTTGAATTACCGGGTATGTTGATGAGTTTGTTTTACATTTGAAATGCTCCCAACTAACAAGTACTGTCCATGATTAAAATTCACTCGCTCTCGACTGTTATATATAATAAAGCCTTATAAACGCTGACATTTCAGACATATTTTAAAAGTAAGTGGGGCTAAATCAAAGAAGTAGTTCAACTTCCGTTTCGCACGTGCCGTAGGCATACGAAGAATACTGGACGCTGTAATAAAAACCCTACAAAAAGAGAGGATGTAACCACTCATACCTAATAGAGACCAAAAAGTAGATGCAGGAATCTGTAATACAATATAACTCCACACGGGTTCTCTTACAAGAAGTCGCGTATGAAGGTGTTGGAGGGATTTCAACGTGCCGTAAAAGCGTGATACAGTAACCTCCCTAGCGTCCTACCACCACCCCTCGGCTTCACCCAAGGTGCCTTTTTTTGCTTCGTGTATGTGACTTGTGTTTGGAGGCACTTAAATGGGTCTTCGGGCAACTGTGTAACTCATGCATGGAAAATCCCTCTTGTTATAGGGGGCGGGTTGCCAAAAGGCCAATCTTCGCAAAAATTCTTCAAATTAAATTATTTGATGACAATCTTGTAGTTCTTGCGCACCTGCACCGTTTTTCGCCCATCTATGTTCCTACGTTCTCAGGTGGATTGGTAGTTCTGCCTTTAATGATGTATGCTGGAAGAAGGACGTTATGCTTGTTATCCATGGTTTCGCAAGGCATTTTTGTTATTGTAGCGCCATTTTTTAAGAGTAAGTTCTCCTGGCTCATTCGAATGGAGATGACCTTTTATTAGAATCTAATCGTAAGAACTGCAATGCGAACTGTTCTGTTATTTCTACGATACTTCCTAAGAGGGTTGTGGGTTAACGGAATGCATTGAGCTTTTGAAAAGAATCTTTTTCAATGGCAACCTCTTTGCATTTGTTTCAGGTTCTCACTGGTTGATGGTCTCTGCCTTTCTTGTCGGAAAGCTCATAAACAGGTGTGAGTGGTCTTCTGGAATGGCTAACTTCACTGTCATAAAGCTTTTTGTCTGTCTGCTAGTTTGTCGTTGATATAACCCGGAGATCAATTGAGACGTTGAACCAAATTTGAGATGGGTGAACACAGGGCAAAATGGGACATTCACTGGAATAAGCGATGCCAAAAGCAAAAATCCCAAATTCAGTTTCAGATGAACCTAACAAAGGAAAAATGACCAAAGGTGGGAAATGGGTCAACTAACGTCAGCATAATGAAGCATACCCAGTATATTAATTCATAATCATATCCCACCAGAACCTAGAGATCAGAGAAAATTTTCGGAAGGAGCAAGGGCACAGGTGTGCTAGTCATGCGCAAACGTAGTGAAGCGCCACCCAGGGCGGGTGTGACGAACTCTGCTTGTTAGGGAATTTTCATGATCTCTTTATATGTCACGCTCTGAAAATCTTAAGCTCTGTAACTTCCTTTTTAGTATTACTTATGCAGTACATCCTATCTATATATCAGAAATGACCCCAACATCAGTACGATCGTTGTCGTATTCAATTATCAACATAGCCCAAAGCGTCGGTATCATTGTTGCACCGTATCTTCGGCATGTAGTGCGTCTCTTTTGCTCTGTTTTTTTCATTTGTAAGAAGGTTTGCAAGTAATCATGATGCATGCAGAGGCTTCATCCGGAATACGTCAAATTCGCCGTTGTTGGTGTATTATGTATTATCGCCGGCGTTTTATGCATGTTTCTTCCGGAGACCATGGATCGCCCTTTGCCAGCTGACATCAAAGATCTCACCAATAACATTGATCGGGTTATCGATGACAGCGACACAGAAGAGCCATTCAGGTCAGTAATCTGTAAGAATGAGCATGAATTGGCAGATTTTTTTAGACACCAAATTTGAAGTATTGTTTTACCTGAGTATCCGTCGTCTCGGTGGTAATGATTTGGAAAAACTGTCAGAAGCAACTAATATGAAGCGAAATATTACATGAGAGATCCATGGGACCTTTCCCTAAAAAGGGAAAGGTCCCGTGGATCTCTCATGTAATATTTCGCTTTTCCTTTCGCAGACTCGCATCCCATCTCGATAATCGCCTAGGCCCACCAAGCCTTCCATCCCTCCGGGATCGATTAACTGGTACCAAATCCGTCTAGGAGGATAAAAGCACTGTCTTGTACATCGGCTGGCCACTTCGAATCATTGTATAGGCCTGATGTGGATTCTTCGCCACTATTTTGATTGGAAATCGAATGAGAAGGCTTTATCCACTTTATATGTGCAGTCGATGTACGAGTTAGTGATTTGATTCTTCCAAATAAATACAACCGTCGGCATCGGAGACTTGCCTGGCTCGAATAAGTACAAATATGACATATGATTCCACTACCAAGGAGTTGACTTACCATAGATGAGGTAGTATAAAGGGGCCAATGTTTTGATTACATACAATGTCATGAAATAGCGAAATAATAACACACTGGTTTGTGTACTTCCAAAGTAAGCTAATGAGAAGGTTTTGGAAATTAGGTGATGATTGGACTTCTTGCATTGCCCTCTTCAACACTTTATAATGTTGAATCGAATTGGTTAGGGCCCTGCCTATATATGTACGGTAGCGCTCAAAAGACTTCGGTGAAATGGTTCTTCAGACGTACTTTTCAGTCGTAACTCCTTTCCTACGGGATCTAATCAAGCGGAATTTCTATATTCGGAGCGTGGATGTATTGTGAATAT